CCCCATATGTAGGTAGTTTCAACTTTTTAATGTTCTTTAAAAGTTTCTCAGTTTTACAACTTTTCTCCCCATTCCCACAATATGTTAAGGTTTATGTAAATTACCTGTTATAATAGGAGGAAGTCCTCTTCCCGTCAACTGGGAATCTAAGGAGATTATTGGGAATTTTTATATACATAAAGTTATTGATCAATGAAAAAAAAAGAAAGGATGCTTAGCCTCATTAGTAATGAAGGAGATGCAAAAATAAAAATACAGAATGCATCTCATAACTTCATGAGTGGCAAAGATTTAGAACTCTGACATGACCAATTGTTACCAAGTACTACCTGGAAGAAAGAAACTCATGTACGCAGCAGAAGCAGTCACAGTGTTCAGCTACTCTGGGAAAAAAATTTTCTGCAGTTACTTAGTTGAATGTGGCTTTCTACTTGTTCTGGTACATGTACACCCAGAGGCATATTTGGCGAGAGCCGGAATATCCACCAACAGTGAAAGTGATGGATAGGTGGAGCTGTTTCTAGCAAAGGGAATGAACCACAGCTGCAAGAATCAACCTGTTCCCCACAGTGTTAGGTGAAATAATCAAATACCAGAACACATTCAGTATCTTTGCATTGAGATAAAATTCACAAGGCAGGCAAGAGAAGCAAAATGTTATTTAAGGTGCATATGTACTTATGTAAGTGGTGATATTATCAAGAAAACTGGTAGGCCATGGTGGCCTAGAAGGATGGGTCATTCTAGGATAGCCTCAGCAAAGGCTGGAGATGTAGCTCAGTGTTAAGGCGCCCCCTGGGTTCAATTCTCAATACAGCTGCAAAAAGTAAATTATATATATGTACGTGTGTGTGTGTGTGTGTGTGTGTGTGTGTATAGAAAACTAATAGTAAGACACACACCAAGGGGGGTGGGAAATGGACAAAGGGATTCAGAGACTTACATTACATGGTGCCTAGCAAGTGTTGTGTTTTTCTCTAAACTGGATATGTAAAAGAGAAATTTTCATATTATATAAATAGTGAAAATACCTTATACATGTAATCATGCAAAATGGAGCCTTTTATTTATTTTTTATTGTAGGGTTGAGGATTGAACCTAAGGCCTTGCATCTGCTAGTGTCTAGTGCTTCACCAGCCCTAGTAAGTAGCATTTTGAGTCTGTGCCCAATAGCATTTGAGACTTTTTGAGCTGTTCTGTGTAATGCAAAATATGGATATAGAACAGTTTATATTCATTCACCAGTCAAAGCACATTTGTTTGCAGTTTGTGGCAATTATATAAGGCTGCTACAAACACTTCCACACAAGCTTTTGTGTGAAGACAGTTTTTATTTCTCTTGAGTAAAGACCTAGGCATGGGATTTTGGGATCATATGGGAAGAATACATCAGCCTTTAGAGGAAACTGCCAACTGATTTCTTCACAGACTGCACTATTTTGCATCACAATCATTATATGACAGTTCCAGTGGCTGTGCATTCTCTGGCATTTGGCATTGTCCAATTTTGGGGATTAGGAAAGGCCATATGTTTGTTGCTCTTATTGTTCATTTGTGTGTGTATGTGTGTGTGTATTTTTTTTCAATGCTGTTACACCCAGGGCATCACTTATGCTAGCCAGTTGCTGTATCACGGGGCCATAACGTGTTTTTGATCTCAAAAGAAATACAAGGTCTTTGTGAAAATCCTTGGGGCTTTTTTGATACAGAGGGGAACGTGGATTTAGCCTAGGCCACTCTCTGGATGTTTGGATACCAGAGGTCTTTAAGCATTTTTGATAG